CTCTTAACACCTAGTTAGCATTAGTAAGTGTTAAATTATCAACTCCAGACAGATTTGGTGTTTAACACTAAATCAGAGTTAACATACCAACTCTCCAAAAAGAGTTAAATTAACACTCTCTGGTGTGGACCCATATAGACACTTTAATAGTGTTGAAATCAAATCTGACAGTGTTAATTTGGACATGCTGGATTTGCTGTGTATGTGCTGGATTGTCTCAGGGGCATCTTTACACAGCCTGCACCTAGAGTCTTGCCTGTTGTGATAGACCCCAGCCTCAATGGATCTTGTGCTCAGAGCCTGTTCCTGTGCTGCCATGATTAGTGCCTCTATGCTGTCTTTCAGTCCAGCTTTGTCCAGCCACTGGTGGGATTTCTGGATGTCAGCCACTTCCTCTATCTGCCGGTGATACATACCATTCAGGGACCTGTCCTTCCATAATGGTTCCTCCTCTTTCTTGGGTTTCTGCTGCCTGAGGTATTCACTGAGCATGCATGGTCAGGAGCTTCCTGGTCTTGATGTCAGTGGCTTCTATCTCCTCCTTTGGCCAGCAGGTTACCTGATCAGAGGCAGGGCGTAGGTGTTGATAGCCCGGATTTTGTTCTTACCCTTCAGCTGACTCCTCAGGACTTGCCTGACCCTCTGCAGGTATTTGGTGGTTGCAGCTTTTCTAGCGACCCCTTCATGGTTCCCATTTAACTGTGGGATCCCCAGATACTTGCAGCTGTCCTCACTGTCTACAATGTTGCCTTCTGGTAGTCGTTCCCCTCAGTTCTGACTACCTTCCCTCATTTTGTTATCATCCAACTACACCTCTTCAGACTATACGACATTCCAATGTATTTGCTGTATATCCTGGTGGTGCAGGTCAGTGAATCAATGTCTCATGCACTCTTGGTAAATAGTTTGATGTCATCTATGTAGAGGATGTGCCTGATGATTGCTCCGTTCTGTAGTCATTATCCATATCCAGTCTTGTGAGTGATCTCACTGAGGAGGTTCAGGCCTATGCAAAATAGCAGTGGGAGCAGTGCATCCCCTTGGTAGATCCCGCACTTGATTGAGTTTCTGATGAAGGCTCTTAGGGTCCTGTTGATCTTGTATAGTTCTAGGCATTCCAGAATCCAGGTGTGGGGCATCGAGTCATAGGTCTTCTTGTAATCAATCCAAGCAGTGCACAGGTTGGTCAGCCTAGTCTTGCAGTCTCAGCTGACTGCTCAGTCTACCAGTAGCTGATGTTTTGCACCTCTGGTATTCTTGCCAAAGAGATGAGTTGGGCCTGGAGGTGCCAAATTCCACCATTTTGGCCTCCCTCACTTGTGATGATGCAGGGTTGATGAGCTCCTAGACCGATTAGGCACTGCTTGGATTTGACCAAGGGCTACTGGCAGATTCCCTTGACTCCAGATTCCAAATAGAAAATGGCCTTCTCTACTCAGGATGGTTTGTACCAATTTGTCACACTTCCATGGTAAATGGCCTGTATTTGTATAGCGCTTTACTAGTCCCTAAGGACCCCAAAGCGCATTACACATCCAGTCATCCACCCATTCACACACTGGTGATGGCAAGCTACATTGTAGCCACAGCCACCCTGGGGCGCACTGACAGAGGCGAGGCTGCCAGACACTGGCGCCACCGGGCCCTCTGACCACCACCAGTAGGCAAAGGCATATACTGCAGCTGTATATGCTGCTGCCTTATCATCCATAGTGACACCTAGAAAGAGCATATGCAAAGATACAGTGTACCGTCTCACATGTGAGAAAGGACTGCTCACACACTGGAGTCAGAGCCATTGACTTCGACAATGACCTGGCAGGTGCGGTCAGGCATCAACAGGATAGAAGTGGTGGCGAAATGTCCTTCAGAGAGATCAAATGATAACTGGACTTTTGGAGAAGGGAATTCGATTAAAGTTAGGGCAATTTTACTGAAAGCACAAATGAAACAATGATAGAAGTGCTTGCAGTTTGGTGGCACTGGCCAGTCTAGCACCGCCTGCACTTTAGTGGGGTCTGGTTAGAGGCTGTCTTTTTCAACCATATATCAGAAGAAGGAACTGTGTCAACATGGAACTCACATTTTTCACTCTCACGGCATGTCTAATCACCGTCATATCTAATTTTTTTGTCAAAATAATGACTTGGAGAGAATAAGTATGAGTTATTACTGTAATTTTTCCATTGATCATAAGACTTGAAGAGTGGAATGCTTATGACAGAGGTGTTCAACTCCAGGGCTCAAGGGCTGGTGTCCTGCAGGTTTTAGATATCACCCTGGGTCAGCACACCTGAATCAAATGTTCATTACCAGGCCTCTGGAGAATTTCAGGACATGTCGAGGAGTTTAATTTAGTCATTTAAATCAGCTGTGTTGGATGAAGGCCACATCTAAAACCTGCAGGAGACTGGCCCTTGAGGCCTGGAGTTGGACACCCCTGGCTTATGAGTTTCACCCACCAGTACCCCTACCATTACTGGTGAGTGCGGCCCTTTTGGCCACACTCTGGTCCTCTAGTGTGATTTCCAATACCTTTATGAGCTGTCCTTATGTAATGACTGATGTGTCTACTCAGCTCTGTTGCTATGATGCCTGAGATGAGCTTCTATGTTGTGGAGAAACAGGTATTTGGCCAGTAGTTTGTAGGGCTCTTTTTATGATCAGGATTGTTCTGCCCTGTGTTAGCCGGTTTGGATTAGTACCTAGGAGGAGCCCTGTTATTTGTGCTATTTGTGAATTTCAGTTGTGGGTGGGTCTGCCCGTGTGCTATTTTTTCCTTGTAGTAGAGAGTACACCCTGGATGCATCTTAGCAGAACAGGTCATTCTCTTCTCTGATTTATCTCTTCAGCTTAGTTTCCAGAGCTGTGAGCCTTTGTTTGGCAGTTTCTAAATCCTAGGTTTTGAAAACACAATTTTACCTTATTTTCATCCAGGACCTCTCTCTCATGAAACCCTTTTGCATCGATTGATATCCTTCTGGGCTTCTCTGATTTTGGCTTCCAGCTGCCCTCTCTGTGGAGAAGCTTTCTCTACCTGGATCCTTAATCTTATACCCAAGTGCTTCTAGGATTTCTGTGTCAGTCGTTTCAGTGATACTGGTAGTATGAAAGGTGCAAAGAGCAGTTTTTTTTCTACAATAATCTGATCTGATGGAGCATTGTCAATGTTCCATCACTTCATCAGTTCAATGTTCTCTCATCCCAAACGGTCATGGCAGATGGCTGCCCCTCCCTGAGCCTGGTTCTGAAGGAGGTTTCTGCCTATTAAAAGGGAGTTTTTTCTTCTCACTGTTGCCCAAGTGCTTGCTCAAAGGGGTTCATATGATTGTTTTTCTGTTTGTCTCTGTATGTATTATTGTAGGGTCTACCTTTGATTTGATTTGATTTGATATACCTTTATTAGTCCCACAAGGGGAAATTTCATAAGGCTGCCGACCTATTGCACGCAATGGCGGCGCCATCTTACCCTCCGACCATACATACATTACACAAAACATCACATGGGGAAGACAGGTCAGAGAGGTATAACAATGGAAAAATGCACCACATGAAAGATAAGGAGAAAAAAATAACTCCCCCCAAACTGAGCTCCAACAGGGAGATCAGTTTGTGAACAGAAAAAAACACCTCTGCACATAGCACATGAAAAAACTCTTAATACACCAAAGAAACACATGACAAGCAACAGGGGTGGGTAAAGGGTGAGAGACAGCCGATTTAGACAGTACATCCGGGCCTGCAGCCTGTGCGCTGGTCTCCTTGATCCACCGTCAGCATCGGAAGAGAATAAGCATCGAAGGCGTTTGGAAAGGAAGGGGGGGATGAGTGTGTGGATATCAGTGTATATGTATGTGTGTGCGTGTCCAGAGTTCAGCTGAGACAGTGTCCTTCGCTCTGCTAGGCTAAGTAAACAGTCTTCCAGCCAACCCAGGTGGCCTTCCATGGAATGGGAAGGAACAGACTAAACACAGTCGTTATCAGGGTGTTTTTGTTCGGCTCCAGCCTTGCGACCGCAGCTGGCGCCGAGAGGGTATCCGCATGAAGTGATGGTGCTTTTTACTTTAGTGCGAACAGCTCATATGAATTTCAAAGCAGTTCTATACCTTACAATATAAAGCGCCTTGAGGCAACTGGTGTTGTGATTTGGTGCTATATAAATAAAATAAAATTGAATTGAAATGGGGGTTCTCTGTGACAACACAAAGTAGTACATAATTGTGAAGTGGTATTAAAACGATACGTGGTTTTCAAAATTTCAAACAAATTGAAAAGTATGGCATGCATTTGTATTCAGCCCCCTGTACTCTGATGCCCCTAAATAAAATCCAATGCAATCAGTTGGCTTCAGAAATCACCTAATTTGATAATCGAGTTCACCTGTGTGTAATTTTGTGTCATTACAAGTTATGAATATTATATTATAATTATATAACCTATAAATACACCCCACCCCCAAAAAACCCTCCGGAAAAAGATGCAGTACTGACGCCACCATCCAATAGACCAGGGCAAACACAAACAGAATTTGGGCAAGATAGGAAGGGTAGACCCTCCCCCCACCCAATGATACTGCAATCAATTTTGTAACAACCTGCAGGAGCATAACTGATTGAATGTTCTGCCAGAGTCTACATTGATCCCCTTGAATTGAAGATTCAAAAATGAAGATTTTTAATTGTATTTAGTTTTTATTTATTTTGCAGTCACAAGACATGTAATACGTTTAAAAAATATACTTTGTTTCCATTATCATCATGTAGATAATTGGGTTGTTGTTTTTTCCAGATAATGCAAATACACTAAGTGGGAATCTGGTTATCGGAACAAACAGATGTTCTATTGCTTGATGTTCTTACATGTAGTCTCTGTACTAAACCTCTAGAGCTTGCAATCCTTAGCTAGTGAGGTGCAAGCTTGAGAATAAAAAAAAAAAAAAAAACTTATAACAGGCAGTAATTACTATTAGCATAATTTTCTGTTTTCCCTTTGTCTTCTAGCTGTTCCATCTGCACCACAAAATGTCATCTCCATAGTAAATGAGACTTCTCTGATACTGGAGTGGAGTCCACCAAAGGAGAGTGGTGGCCGAGAAGATGTAGTTTACAACATCATATGTAAGAGTTGTGGCAGGGGTCGCAGCGGCTGCACCCGCTGTGGTGACAACGTGCAGTTTATCCCACGTCAGCTGGGACTCACCAACACCCGAGTACATATCAGCGACCTCATGGCTCACACGCAGTACACATTTGAAATACAAGCTGTCAATGGAGTGTCTGATCAGAGTCCTTATTCACCACAGTACACGTCTGTCAACATCACCACCAACCAGGCTGGTGAGGCATGATGTTACTCTAGTGATATTTCAGTGATTTCAGTATTAACTTCTGTTTTAGTAGCTCGAATGTCTGTTAGCATGTTTTCTACACCCTTCAGATCTCTTTGTTTTTTTCTCAGCACCATCAATAGTGTCCATCATCCACCAGGTTAGCAGAACTCCTAACAGCATCACTCTGTCCTGGTCCCAGCCAGATCAGCCCAATGGTGTTATTCTGGACTATGAACTGCAGTATTATGAGAAGGTACATCAGTGCCAACTGATTGAATTAATTTCAATTCAGTTTTATTTATATAGCACCAATTTGCAAAAGCAGTCACCTCAAGGCATCTGAACCTGAAACATTTTGACTCTTAAATTGTACTCAAAAATCTTACAGTTTTAATTATAGACAGATCTGCCTGATTTAAAGTCTTTGGTGTGTGTTATTCAGAACCAAGCAGAATGGAACTCATCTCTAACGAGGAGTCAGACCAACACTGCTGTCATACGAGGTTTAAGGCCTGGAACCATATACGTGTTTCAGGTCCGGGCTCGGACTGTCGCTGGATTTGGACGCTTCAGTGGTAAAATGTACTTCCAAACCATGACTGAAGGTAGGAATCAGATTTGCTGACAAACTAAATTCAGACTTATTTCATACCCTGTGTGCTGCCTAATATATAAGTCTAAATATAAAAATTACTGACATTTTTGTGGTTTGTTGTCTTTTCACCTGTAGAAGAATATAACTCCATTATTCAAGAGAAGCTCCCCCTCATCATTGGTTCATCTGCTGCAGGGGTTGTCTTTATTATTGCCATCACTGTCGTCATAATTGTTTGTCGCAGGTGAGCCACTCTGTGTCCACTCTGTCCCCCAGAAAATGTTCCACTCTTCACCACATTATGGTCTAAAAATCTGGACCAATTTTTTACAAAGCCACAGAAATGATACAGAAAGCACTTTATCAAAAGTGCTGATTATGAATAAAACTGCAACTTGATCCTACAGAAATACACTCAATGACTTTGACCTACAAAAACTGCATTATGTGGTGGCAACTAGGGATGGGTATCGTTTAGGTTTTATCCGATACCGGTGCCAAACCGGTACTTTTGAAACGGTACCGGTGCTTAAACGGTGCTCGAACCGGTGCTCGAACCGGTGCTTAAAGAATGGAGAACACAAAATTGGTCCAAAAACCTCTTACGTTTAGCTGTTTTTTTGTAAAAAGATAACAATGTTAGCCTTTTCTGCAGCTATAGGGCATATATGGTATCACTCTTGGCTGGAAGCAGTGCTTAAACAATGGAAAAAACACAAACTTTGTCCAAAAACCTCTCATGTTTAGCTGTTTTCCACTTTTTCTTTGGTCATTTTAGCCTTTTTGGCCAGGGTGAAGGGAGTATCTGCCATCAAACAAGAAGACAGCCGCTGTAACTATGACGGTGTTTGCTAGTTCACCTTACATGCATTAATGTAATAACGTGGTTAGCCTACTCAATGTAAATTACACACGAACAACATTAACCCTCCTGCCATCCTTTAAAAAACTCACACCCATCACCCTAGGGACCATTCTCAGCCACGCCATAAAAAGACCATATATCCATATTTTATTCCACTTTAAATTAGCCAACCTTGTAAAACTACTTCTCCCTGAAATATTCATGTAAAGTTTTAATTATATTTTCGTTGTTTTAACCCTTCAAATCCCAGTGTTATTACATGAGCGCCCTGTGTTATAAGCCCCAAAAACCAAAAAACGAAACTAAATATTTCCACAAAAAACCAGTTGAAGTAATATGTGATTGTCATTATAAGTAGGCCTTTAGATGGACCAAAGATTGGCACCAACATACATTTTGACCTGCCATTATTTTTTTTGCATTTTTTTTGCAATTTAAAAATTAAAACTTCAAGGCCCTGAGTCTTCATTGACATACAAGAAAAGAAGAAAAAATAAAATCATATGATGATAATTTGGGGTTGAAAAATAGCGTTTATAATGGAAGTCAATGGGTAGAAAATGGTCCCCAGGGTGATGGGTGTGGGGATTTCTGCTGCTCAGCCATTTTAGGCTGATTTAAGGAATTCACACTGGAATATTAACATTGACAGGTAAAAACTATCCTGTGGCAAGTTTGGTTATATTCCACTGAACACAGTGGAAATGGCAGCCATTTAACACATAGCAGTGGCACAAAAAGGTCCCAAGAAGGCAGGAAGGTTAAGCTACTCACGCAGAGAAGAACGGCTGCTGCTACCATCATCATCCGTCATCATTTCTGCTACACTGGCAGGACTAGGGGCCAGGACTCTCCTCTTCGGGTTCTTGGGGGATGTTGCTAACTCCGGGTCCGATAACAGTCACCACTCGGTGTGAGGTCTTGCAGCAAGCTATCAAATACGGTGCATTTCTCGGCTTTTAAAAAAACGCTATGCGTCACCAGGTGTTTCATCAGATTCGAGGTGTTACCTCCTTTGCACAGTATCACCTTAAAGCACTTTTTGCAGGCTGCTGAGTTTGCATCTTTTGCTGTGAAGTACAGCCAGACTGTTGACCGCTTCGTCTTGGGCATTTTTAATCTGCAGCTCTGCTCTAAAAGAACGTACATACCTGGGCCCGCCTACTATCCTTGGAAAGGTAAAATGATTGGCTAGAATCCAAAGTGTATGACATTTCAGGGGAAAAAAAGCACTGAAATAAATCACGGAAATGTGCGCTGCTTTCCGGTCTGGTTACTACCGTTTATGTCAGAACCGGTGCTATAATGGCACCGGATACCGGTACCCATCCCTAGTGGCAACATGCAATTTAGTGTAAAATTATGTATTTAATTAAGAAGCGTCTGTTCTTCTTTAAGTTGCTTGAAGACGTTTCGCCTCTCATCTGAGAAGCTTCTTCAGTTCTAGGGTCAAATGGTGGAGAGTCCCAGATTTAAGCCCTATGGGAGTGTGCCCCCAAGAGGGACCATGGACCCCCTAATGATCCTCTACCTGATCACACGAGCCGAGGTGTGAAAACAGGTGTAGGTCACAATCAGCCAAGGTTTCGGGTGAACTCATTGTGAAACCTAGTCCCACCCTATCATGTGATTTTCTGAGGATTTCCTGGGTTCAGAAGGCCCAGGATTTTCTTTCCAGCTCCTTAGACTACAATGACCTGGTTGACTAAGAACCTTCACAGACATATTTAATTGAAAGCCAATTATGGGCTTCTTTGTAGTGGACAGTTTTAAATAGGGTAGAAACACACGGTTTGTTTGTTTTTCTGGAGTAGTTCAAAGTCAAGACTTGACTATGTCAGGTCATGATTATATACTTAGTAAACATATATTTTGTGTTGTCTTTGTCATGCATCAGTCTTTATTGTACACCATATAGTATAGTATAGCTTGTGCTCTGTTTTGTTTAATAGTTTATGTTATTAGTAGATTTAGTTTTTGTTTTCGAGTTGATGGATCTACATGCAGACTTTTTTGTATTTGTTTCCAGCAAAAGAAATTCTGACAGACCAGAATCTGAATATACAGACAAACTCCAACATTACACCAGTGGTCACAGTATGTACCTTTTTCTGAAAGTTGTTGACATTAAGACTGATAGCCATTAGTGCTGTATTTTATGAAATTAATGTTTTTTCAAGATTGGATGTGGCAAAAAATGACAGAAAGAAATCAAGTTTCCCTGTGTCTTCACGATTCAGTTTTTGCATATATATCTGTTGCTGTTTCTTCTATTTTTCTGTTGAAGTGTCACCGGGAATGAAGATCTACATTGACCCCTTCACATATGAAGATCCCAATGAAGCGGTTAGAGAGTTTGCTAAGGAAATTGACATTTCCTGTGTAAAGATTGAACAAGTGATTGGAGCAGGTAAAACAAAGAGATGCCTTAGAAAGGAAACGATATTAGGTGTAAGTAAAGACAGGCAGTGATTGGTGAGGTTTATGATACTTAGTACGTCAGAATGTGACTGTCTTGACCTTTATTAGTATATTAATTGTCTATTCAAAGAAGGTAATATTAAAGGTTTCTTTATCAAAGGTTAGATTAAGAAGTCACTGTACTGTTGTGACAGTGCTTGGAACTAAAATCAACTTAAACATAGCTTTTCTGCCTAATTGTTCTCTATCATGTCTGCCTAGATTACAGCAGTTTACAAAAACTTTGATAGTTACAGAAGATGATACAAAATGAATATATTATAATACATTACATGTCATTTACCTACTGTAAACCTGATAGGAGAGTTTGGAGAAGTGTGCAGTGGAAACCTCCGACAGCCTGGGAAAAGGGAGATATTGGTGGCCATCAAGACTTTAAAGGCAGGGTACACTGAACGCCAGAGGAGGGACTTTTTGAGTGAAGCATCTATCATGGGTCAGTTTGATCATCCCAACATCATCCATCTGGAGGGAGTGGTTACCAAGAGCAGCCCTGTAATGATCATCACTGAATTCATGGAGAATGGATCCCTTGACTCATTTCTCAGGGTAAAAGAGACACTGTACAATTCAATACAAGTATAGTAGTACGCACGTGTGTGTGTGTGTAGGTGTGTGTGTGTGTGTGTGTGTCATTACTGTACTAAAAAAAGAAGGAAACAGGGAAAAAAAGTAACAATAATATGCAAATGAGGGTGGTTACTCGTCAGATGTCACCGAGCTTAAATTCTTCCATGTATTTTTTATTATATCTGTGGATTGCCATTTTCAGCTTGGTGTCCACTTCTCACACATTTCAGCTTTTAAATTTTGGTCAAGAGGTTTTAAAGTCCATCCATTTTCTTTTGTTTGTATGGGGCATCACATTTCCAAGCAACACAAGTAAAGATAAATCTCTCCAGAGTCTCCTTGGTCTGCCCCAGGGCCGGCCTCCTTCTGGTGGTTCGAAAGAACTCACACCAGAAGCGCCCAGGAGGCATCCTCGTCAGGTGCTCAAACCACCTCAACTGGCTCCTTTCAATGTGGAGGAGTAGCAGCTTTATTCTGAGCCCCTCTCCAATGACTGAACTCTTCATCCTATCTCTAAGGAACAGCCACCCTTCTGAGAAATGTAATTTCTAAAACTAGTATGTGCAACCTAAGGTCAGTGTTGGGAAGGTTACTTTTAAAATGTATTCCACTACAGATTACAGAATACATGTCCCAAAATGTATTTTGTAATGTATTCCGTTACGTTACTCAATGAGAGTAACGTATTCTGAATACTTTGGAATACTTAATACACCATCATGCTTTTTACAGAATCAGAATCAGAATCAGAAAGGGTTTTATTGCCAAATGTTGAGCGGGTTTACAACATTAGGAAATTGCTGCGGTGCTTCAGTGCAAACATACTGTTATAAATTAAGCTTAAATAGACATGAAAATAAAAATGAGAATAAGAATTAAAAGTGCTAAGTAGATAGATAGATAGATATATACATGATATATACATGAGTGCAGGTGGTGATCAATGCCAAACATGGAATGATGCAGTGAACACAGCGTAGGGTCATGTGTTAGTGGTGGGAACAGTCATACGGTTATTGTTCATGTGTTCAACAGCAGAGGGGAAGAAACTGTTCTTATGGCAAGAGGTTCTGGTGCGAATGGACCGGAGCCTCCTGCCTGAGGGGAGCAGGTCAAACAGACTGTGTCCAGGGTGAGAAGGGTCAGCTGAGATCCGAGCTGCACGCCCCAGTGTCCTGGAGGTGTACAGGTCCTGCAGAGATGGGAGTCTGCAGCCAATCACCTTCTCAGCAGAGCGCACAACACGCTGCAGTCTCTGTTTGTCCCTGATAGTGGCTCCAGCGTACCACACGGTGATGGAGGAGGTGAGGATGGACTCGATGATTGCAGTGTAGAATTGCATCATCGTCCGTGTTGGCAGGTTGAATTTCTTCAGCTGCCTCAGGAAGTACATCCTCTGCTGGGCTTTCTTAATGACGAAGGTGATGGTGGGCACCCACTTCAGGTCCTGGGTGATGGTGGTACCCAGGAAGCGGCATGAGTCCACAGAGGTGATGGGGGTGTCAGTCAGGATGATGGGGGGGAGTGGGGCTGTGTGCTTCCTGAAGTCCACAATAATCTCCACTGTCTTCTGGGCATTCAGCACCAGGTTGTTGTGGCTGCACCAAGACACCAGACGTTCAACCTCCCTCCTGTAGGCAGACTCATCCCCGTCCGAGATGAGTCCAATAACGGTGGTGTCATCTGCAAACTTGATTAGCTTGACAGACTGGTGGGTGGAGGTGCAGCAGTTAGTATACAGGGAGAAGAGCAGGGGAGAAAGAACACAGCCCTGAGGGGAGCCGGTGCTGATGGTCCAGGAGTCCAAGACATTCTTTCCCAGCCTCACATACTGTTTCCTGTCCGTCAGGAAGTCAGTGATCCACCGGCAGATGGGATCAGGCACATTCATCTGGGAAAGCTTGCCTCGGAGATGGTCTGGAAGGATGGTATTGAAGGCAGAGCTGAAGTCCACAAACAGGATCCTGGCGTAGGTTCCTGGGGAGTCCAGATGCTGCAGGATGAAGTGTAGGGCCATGTTGATGGCGTCATCTACAGACCTGTTGGCTCTGTATGCAAACTGCAGGGGGTCCAGGAGGGGGGCCGTGAGGGTCTTGAGATAGGAGAGAACCAGGCGCTCAAAAGACTTCATGACCACAGATGTCAGAGCCACGGGTCTGTAGTCATTTAGTCCAGTGATCCTAGGTTTCTTGGGGACAGGGATTATGGTAGAGGACTTGAAGCAGGCAGGCACATGACATGCCTGCAGTGAGGAGTTGAAAATGCCAGAAAACACTGGGGCCAGCTCGTTTGCACAGTGTCTGAGGGTGGCAGGAGACACACCGTCTGGGCCGGGAGCTTTTCGAGCATTCAGACTCTTAAACTGCTTCCTCACACCTTCTTCAGGAATATAAAGAGTTGTGGTGGGAGGAGGTGGTGTGAAATCCTCTTTTGTGTGGGGTGAGGAGGGGGGTGTTGTAGGTGAAGTGTTTGAAGGTGGTGATGGCTCTATGGAGGTGGGAGAGGTGGGGGAATGAGTGTCCAAAGTGTCTCTATTGTTGGGGCCGTTGGAGGTGTGAAGGCTGCCTGATGGCTCGTCAAAACGGCAGTAAAAGTCGTTGAGGGTGTTGGCCAAGAGCAAGTCATCAGTGGAGTGGGGGGTTTTAGGCTTGTAGTTGGTGATATTCCTAAAACCTTTCCACACAGAGGCCGAGTCATTCTCTGAGATCTGCTGCTGCATCTTCTGGTGCTGGTGTTTAGCAACGTCCACTTCTTTAGTGAACCTGTACTTGGCCTCTCTGTAGCAGTCCCTGTCTCCGCTTCTGAACGCCTTTCTCTTTTCCAGCCACAGCTTTTTGAGTTTAAGAGTAAACCAGGGTTTGTCATTGTTATAACTCACTATGGTGTGTGATGGCACAATGCTGTCCTCACAGAAGTGGATATAGGAGGTGACAGTGTCCGTAAACCAGGCAGCACGGTGGCACGGTGGTTAGCACTGTTGCCGCACAGCAAGAAGGTCCTGAGTTCAATTCCAACATCAGGCTGGGGCCTTTCTGTGTGGAGTTTGCATGTTCTCCCCGTGTTTGCGTGGGTTCTCTCTGGGTACTCTGGCTTCCTCCCACCGTCCAAAGACATGCAGCTTGTGGGGATAGGTTAATTGAATAATCCAAATTGTCACTAGGTGTGAATGTGTGAATGAAAGTGAGTGCGAATGGTTGTCTGTCCCTGTGTGTTGGCCCTGCGACAGACTGGCGACCTGTCCAGGGTGTACCCCGCCTCTCGCCCTATGACAGCTGGGATAGGCTCCAGCGCCCCCCGCGACCCTGAAAAAGGATAAGCGGAAGCGAATGGATGGATGGATGGACAGTGTCCGTAAACTCATCCAAGCTGTTAGAAGCAGCCTTCATTGTGTCCCAGTCTGTAGACTCCAAACACGTGCGAAGCTCCTCCACAGCCTCGTTGCTCCACAGTTTTTTGGTCCTCACGACAGGTTTGGAGAGCTTCAGCCTCTGTCTGTACGCGGGGATTAGGTGGATCATGACTGTCTTGTTTCTTTATGTTGTTATGGGTTTTTAAGAATCACAGTCTACTCCGAGGTAACTCCCGTTGCTCTCTAGCTCCCCCTACAGTCTAGGAGTATTAACAACATAAAACATGATACTAGGCAAATAAGGATTTGTTGTTATCATTACGTCTTCCTTTTTTTTCAACAATAAAATAACATACCTACTTTCACAAACATAAACAGTCTCTATTTGTTTTTTACTTGTTAAACCAGGCTTTATCAAAGTAACGTTAACAACACAACTAGTTTTCAACAATTATGGTCCATTCAACACTAGTAACCAAACATAGTGAAACTTGCATAGATACTATGACATCATCTTCCAAACAACATGTCAACACATTACATCTGTTCGATCAGTCTCATAGGTGGCTTTACTTGTCTTACAGATCTTCTCAGTGTTTGTTCTTGTGTATGTGTAGGTGTTTCAGGTGATAGTGTCTCATGTGTGTGTTGGGGTTGTTCAGCAGCCTCCAACCTCTGCTCCACTACTACTGGTCCCTTAATAAGATCTCGGCGATTTCTTCGCAGCATAGCTCCATCTTCTGTCTGAATGATGTATGATCGTGGCTGATCTTTCCTTAGAACAGTCGCTTTCTGTGCCCATGCGTTGGATTTGTCTTTGAATCTCACTTGATCCCCAGCATGCAGTTCAGGTAGGTGTTTTGTTCCTCTGTCATAATAGAACTTCTGCTTTGCTTTTTGTTGCTCCTTAAACTTCTTCACGCTGTTTCCCTCTTTTGTTTTAAGCAGATTATCCTGAATGGGCAGGTTTGATCTCAGGCGTCGTCCCATAAGAATCTGTGTTGGTGACATACCACACTCAAGTGGCGTTGTGCGGTATACTAGCAGGCTTTGGTAGAAGTAAGCACCACTGTCTCTCGCCTTACTCATCAGCCTCTTCACTGTTTGGACGGACTTTTCCACTAGTCCATTAGATTGTGGGTAGTGCGGGCTTGATGTTGTGTGAACAAAGTCCCATTCTTTGGCAAACTGTCCAAACCTAATATTGGAGAATTGTGGTCTATTGTCTGTGAACACTTCACTTGTCACACCGTGTCGTGCAAATACGGCCTTCATAGAGGTGATTACAGCCTCTGCTGTTGTTGTTTGCAGTCTACATACTTCCGGATACAAAGAGTAGTAGTCTGTGACCACAATATAGTCCTTTCCTCCAGACACAAAGAGGTCAGCCCCCACTTTCTGATATGGTCGGTCTGGCACTGGGTGCGGCTTTAGTGGCTCGGCAGGATTGCTTGCTTGATATGTCAGACATCACCTCACGTGCTCTCCTTTTACATTTTTCCATGCCTAGATGCCCTGCGTGTATCTTTTTGAGCATCTCTCCTCTTTGGGATGACAATTTTACTTCCCTTGAACACCACATCATGCACTACAGACAGTTCTGCTCTGCAGTTCCAGTACTCTTGAATAA